ATGGAACAAGACATAATGTCCCAGATGTGCTCAGTTGGATTCAGGTCTGGGGAACGGGCAGGCCAGTCCATAGCATCAATGCCTTCATCATGCAGAAACTGCTGACACACTTCAACCACATGAGGCTGAGCACTGTCATGCATCAGAAGGAACCCAGGGCCCACTGCACCAGCATATGGTTTCACAATGGGTCTGAGGATCTCATCCCAGTACCTATTGGCAGTCAGGGTACCTCTGGCTAGCACATGGAGGGCTGTGCACCCTCCAAAGAAATGCCTCTCCACACCATTACTGACCCACTGCCGAACGGTCTTGCTGGAGGATGTTGCAGGCAGCAGAATGTTCTCCACGGCGTCTCCAGACTGTCATTTCTGTCACATGTGTTCAGTGTGAACCTGCTCTCATCCATGAAGAGAACAGGGCACCAATGGAGAATCTGCCAATCTTGGTGTTCTCTGGCAAATGCCAATCGCCCTTTTGGTGTTGGGCTTTCAGCACAAGCCCCACTGGTGGATGTCGGGCCTTCATACCACCCTCATGGAGTCTGTTTCTGACAGTTTGAACAGAAACATGCATATTAGTGGCCTGCTGGAGGTCATTCTGCAGGGTTCTGGCAGCGCTCCTCCTGGTCCTCCTGCACAAAGGAGGAGGTACCCTCCTGCTGCTAGGTTGCTGCCCTCCTACGGCCCCCTCCACGTCTCCTGGTGTACTGACCTGTCTCCTGGTATCTCCTCCAGGCTCTGGACACTGTGCTGAGAGACACAATAAACCTTCTTGCCACAGCTGGCATTGATGTGCCATCCTGGATTAGCTGCACTACCTGAGCAGCTTCTGTGGGTTGTAGACATCACCTCATGCTACGTCTAGGGCTGAGAGCACTGACAAAATGCAAAAGTGACCAAAACATCAGCCAGACAGGATGAGAACAGAGACATGGTCTGTGGTCACCACCTGCAGAACCACTCCTTTATAGGGGTTGTCTTGCTAATTGCCTCTCATCTCCACCTGTTGTCTGTTCCATCTGCACAACAGCACGTGTTTCCTTTATTTTTTTGAGCTGTGTACATGGTCTTTATATATAAACCTTTGTTCACAACTGTACTCAGTGAAATATTTTAACATCTGCCTGCTGAGGATTTAGTAAGATGCGATTATTAGACAGAGTGCTGTAAAATTATTGCAGACATCCATAGTGCCAAGAGGATGAACAATTGTTCAGTGTATATATATATATATATATATATTTGATTGCATTTTAGAGTACTTTAAATTACAACGAAATACCTTTAAAAATTGTTCCCTTCAGCCTCAGTTGTGCTTAAAATTCATTCAGTCCTAATTAGCAAATGTTTGCATGCTAGCACAGTCAACCAAGGTGTCAAACATAGTAAAGATTGCACCTGCTAAACATCAGCATGTTAGCATGCTGACATTATAGCACCACTGAGGCAAAGTACAGCCTCCTCGAGCTGCTAGCATGGCTGCACTCTTTTAGTCTAATTGGCCTTGCCAACATCTAGTTTTTAGACAAGTCAAATAATATTAACTAGACTTATAAAATACCTGGAAATTGTGTATAATGTAATAGATATTTTTGACAGATAGCTATCAAGAACTAATTGTATTGTTTTTGTTTGTTTGTTTGTTTTTCAAAACTAAACAAAAATCCATGTGCCTTACAGCAAAATGTTAGTCAGTCATGATCGTACGATGAGGAAAACTCTTGAAATTGTAGTTACTCTGAGCCGCAAAGAGGGCGAGAAGGAAAGCAAATTCCCTTTTTTCATTATTAAATTCTCTGTTCAGTCCCCTGGACATTGGAATTTTTAATCAGAGGATTTGTGCTTGTGCTAGAAATACCGAAGAGAGAGCAGTTCCTGACCTTTAGCTGATCAGCAGACTGAAACTTCACTTTTTCATTATCTGGGACTTTACATGCTTTTAAAATCCTCTTCATACCTTCATATGGTATCACATGATAGGTTTTTGAAAAGTATTTATGTTTTTCTCTGCAGTATGATAATAATGATTTCAGCGGTCACGTGCTAAAGGACAAGGACAACCAAAATGTAAGTGCTGCACTCCGGGTTGGGCAAATTGGGAGGCGATTCTGTCGTTAAACTGAAATATTTTTATTAGTATTTATAGTGTATATCTCAGAAAAAAGCATTATCATGCTGTATCATGGGCTTTATCCTGAGCTGCATCTCTACGGTCAGAAGGACTCTGCTTCTGTCAAGTGGCTGTGTTTTGTGTTATACATCGTGCAGACAGCAGCCTTGTGCTTTGGCAGACAATGACTCATGTCAAAGTTTAATTCCAGATTATTGTGCCCTGTTCAGGACATGATGGGATGGTGGGCTGTTTGGTTCAGCGTTCAGCGTGTGTCATCCTGGCTTTTGTGGCCGGTCAGGGTTGGGACACTAAGCCGGGTGATTCCAGGCGACTCGAGTTTTTTCACTGAAAGATGCATGGTTTTGTGGAGAGGCTTAATAGTGATTAAATAATCCATTGCGTGGACAGGAAGCATAGACTGACAAAGAATGCAACAGCATAAACCCTTCAACTGAGTGCGCTTTTTAAAGAAGCATTTAGTAGGAGTAGTAGAAACATGGGCAAAACAATACAAGTAAAAAGTACAAAAATGAAGAGAAGTAGATTCCAGCATGTGACTAACGTGTGATTTGAAATGAGCGAAATAGAGTGAAGAAGTGGAAGTAGAACAAAACTAAAAAGTCATTGTGATGTGTCTTAATGTTGTTGTTAAAGCTCATAACTAGTAATGTTTGTAGGAGGACATTGTGTCACAACAGGAATAAGTAATGTAGCAGTACTAAGATTAGAAAACAGACTGTCCTCTGTTGTTGAGCCCTAATGGCAGAATTTTGTGACTTTTTTGTGACTAACAGTGAAATATAATGAGACAAAGGCAAATATAGCAATATATGATGTGATATGGCATCAAATGTCTGGATCACTGGAAAATAAATAAGTGCGTTTGCTCAAGTACTGTACTTAATTACAATTTCAAGGTTCCATTATGTGCTGCTTTTTTTTAGAGTTTTATTTTTTTTGTTACTTACTTCAAAGGCAGAAGTTTACATACATTTCCTTAGTATTTGGTAGCATTGTCTTTAAATTGTATGACTTGGGTCAAATGTTTTGGGTTTCCCTCCACAAGCTTCTCACAATAGTTTGATGAATTCTGGTCCATTCCTCCTGACAGAACTGGTGGAACTGAGTCAGGTTTGTTGGTCTCCTTGTTCCACACACCTTTTCAGCTCTGACCACAAATGTTCTCTAGGATTAAGATCAGGGCTTTGTGATGGCCACTCCAAAACACTGAGTTTGTTGTCCTGAAACCTCTTTGTAACTAATCTGGTGGTGTGCTTAGGGTCATTGTCCATTTGAAGACCCATTAGTGCCCAAGCTTTAACTTTCTGGCTGATGTTGCTTCAATATTTCCACATAATCTTCTTTCCTCATGATGCCATCTACTTTGTGAAGTGCAGCAGTCCCTCCTGCAGCAAAACATCCCCACAACATGATGCTGCCACCCCCGTACTTCACAGCTGGGATGGTGTTCTCCCTTTTTCCTCCAGATGTAACGATGGTCATTATGGCCAAACAGTTCAGTTTTAGTTTCATCAGACCACAGGACATGTCTCCACAAATGAAGGACTTTGTCCCTGTGTGCATTTACAAACTGTAATCTGCTTTTTTGTTTCTTTTGGAGTAATGTCCTCTTCCTCTCTGAGTAGCCTTTCAGCCCATGTCGGTACAGGACTGGCTTCACTGTGGATAATGACTCTCTCTTACCAGCTTCAGCAGCATCTTCACAAGGTCTTCTGCTTTTGTTCTGAGGTTGATATGCACATTTCTCAACAAAACACTTCATCACTTCATCAAACAGTTGGCTTTTCCTTGCAGGACTTTTACTTGTAATGCAGTATTATTACATTGTTTTATTAGTGCGTTTACTTAAGTAAAGGATCTGAATGTTTCTTCCACCACTGCTCTGGATAGATTCAGGATCTTTTGTATTCATACTGACCATATAGTTCTTATAAAATCCATCTATCCATTATCTATACACAGCTTAATCCTCACTAGGGTCGCGGGGGGGCTGGAGCCTATCCCAGCTGACTTAGGGCGAAGGCAGGGGACACCCTGGACAGGTCACCAGTCTATCGCAGGGCCACACTTAGAGACAAACAGCCAAGCACACTCACATTCACACCTACGGACAATTTAGAATCATCAATTAACCTCAACATGTTTTTGGACTGTTTGCCGGTTTGCGTCCCGGTGGGGGCACCGGAATCTTTCTGCGTGGAGTTTGCATGTTCTCCCCGTGCAGCGTGGGTTCTCTCCGGGTTCTCCGGCTTCCTCCCACACAGTCCAAAAACATGTTGAGGTTAATTGGTGATTCTAAATTGTCCGTAGGTGTGACTGTGAGTGTGCTTGGTTGTCTGTCTCTAAGTGTGGCCCTGCGATGGACTGGCGACCTGTCCAGGTTGTCCCCTGCCTTCGCCCTAAGTCAGCTGGGATAGGCTCCAGCCCCCCCGCGACCCTAATGAGGATTAAGCGGTGTATAGAAAATGGATGGATGGATGTTTTTGGACTGTGTGGGAGGAAGCCGGAGAACCCGGAGAGAACCCACGCTGCACAGGGAGAACATGCAAACTCCACGCAGAAAGATTCCGGTGCCCCCACCGGGACGCAAACCGGCAACCTTCTGGATGCGAGGCAACAGTGCTACCAACTGCGCCACCCTGCAGCCCTTCTTATAAAATTAGTTCCTAAAAATAAACATTTGATCATTTTTGATTCTTTGTGCATAAAGATGTTTTTTTGTTGGTGTTTTTTTGTTTTGTTTTTTTACGATGGATGTTTAGAATCCGATACAGCTGTGACTTTGTGAGAAGGTTTAGATTTAATCAGTTGACCTACTGCTTTGTTGCTCCTACTACTCTTAATATATTGGTGTTTTTCCCCAGAGTGAGATGGGCAACGAGACTGTTGGTGTGTCGGAGCACATCAGAGATCCTCCCAGGTCCTTCCTGCTCACCATCAACCTGAAGGAAGGACACAACCTGGTCATCAGGGACCGCTGTGGTAAGAGCCTCATCTTTGCTCTGGGACTGCTAAAACTAAGATAATGTGTGGTTATGGCTCAGTAGCATTTCCACTATATCAGCTTTACCACCTGTGTGTATATAATGAGGTGACACACAGACAACAGGAAAATCATTTTACATGAGTAATTGGATATATACAGTACATGCAGCTGCATATGAGTCCAGCAGCACTGTACACATGCAGTACATTGTGTAGGTAGATATCAAGATTTTAAAACACAGAACCCATTCTGAGTGACATTGTGTAAACAGTACTAAATCAACAGGAGCAACTGTGATGGAAATGATGCCTGAATGATCGGAATAAGGAACCTGGTTCAGTGAGGTTCAAATAGTAATTAGGAAACACAACAGAAAATGAGAAGTGTGCTGTGGAATTTTGTTTATTTCAGAGATCTTCTTACCATCTCTTCTGCACTCAGAAGATCAGTGTTTCATTGAAACTTCAATATTTCACTTCCTTGCTAGTTGGTTAACTGTTTCCATTCATATAATTCTTGCACCTGAAAGTTTCGAGAGCTCTAAAACCAGGTATATATTTACCCAGTGCTCCATTCATGCAATTTTATTAACATCATAAAACTATTAAGGAGTTGTTTTTCCCAACAGGTACAGTTTATGTATAATGTGCTCTTTCTTTCTCACATTGGCCTTTCTTTCCCCCCTTTATTGTGGTTTAGCGCTTACAAATGATTTCACAGTTTGCCACCTACGACATCATCACATACTCTGTGCATGTTGTCCCAATGAGTAAGTGCAACTATTGCTGTGAATTTATTCCACCAGTTGTCGCCTCGTGTTGCAACATGTGTCTCAGTTCTTAAATCTAAAACTTTTAGAATTATATGTGCCCTATAAAGAGTGTCTCATGTTAAGAATCTACCAGAAACCAACAGTTTGTTTTCTCAGATTTAGTGTTTAGTGTTAACCTCAGTTTGTGTGTTTAGCCTTGACTCTTTAATGACGGCCTTGAATGTCTGTTTGATTACGCACTGTGTTATTGACTCCAGGGACACTAAAGACAGCTGGGTGTCAGGTTAGCTTCACAGCTAACCTGACACCCAGTCGCTGACACAGCTAGCCCTGGATTCCACACATATTAGAACCTGTTGGAGCCACACCCAGCTTTCAATACTAGGCCTTTCACTCCTGGCATGTATTTGAGTTACATTTTTCTCTTGTGTTTGCACAGTCGCACTTTGTGTAAAGACAATACAGAAAATGAAGGGAGGGATCTCGTCACAGCAGGATTAGGTTTCTTCACATTATGGTTAATATTGTATGGTCTTTCAACAGCAGCCACAAAAAGGAGTTTTTGTGTTTGATCAGCTTATGTACACTGCATTCGTAGCATGTGCTGACAGTACTTTGTTGTGTAATGGGTTTATAATATTGTGCTCACATTGTATTAGCACCACAATGACTCGAGCCAGGCATCTTCATGAATTGATGCCGGAGTATCAGCTCATCTATGATCAGTCCACAAACTGTTTGGTTGACTGCTGCCCTCACCTGGTTGATTGACAGAATAGCTAAAAGTCATAGATTTGACTTCCTTGACTTTGAAATAACAATTTTTTAATTGACTCGCAGCAAAAAATAGATGTAATGGGTTGTTCACAATAAAGTAGTAATTCTGTGATCTTGCAGTCACCTTTACATGTTGCCCTGCCTACATGTGGTACAGTGTTTATAATACACTTATCGACACACACCAAAAGGTTTTCAGTTGCTGTTGGTTTTTCAGTGGAAACTCAAATCTGATTGGTTGTTGATTCAGGAAGTTGTGGTCCCATCAGTTGGGGAGGAAAACAAAACCACATCCTCTATACAGACACATGAGAGATGACACTGTGAGCAGGTCAGGCCTCCCTTTTACATGAAACTGGTAGATTTTCCTAGAAGTGAACAAACAGGAGTGGATGAAATATAGCAGGGTCATTTAATTAGTATCAATAGCAGTGAGTCACGATGACAAGTCAGCTCTTTAAAGGGGGAATAAAAAGAGGAGGAGTTGTGACATTGCCTTTGTCACTCCATGAGTTCAGAAACCAAGCCAACTCAGGAGGCTTACATTGGATCTGGCTATTGAGTTCACTAATTTTCAGGCTTAGGTAACAGCTACAGCATGGCCTGTTATAAGTTCATTGTTTAATCCCCAGCTACAAAAGATATCTTCATATGAAACTGTGTGTCATTTTGCAAGACACCTGAACCTCCTATTAGTTTGATCAGTTTAGATAATGATATTAATGTTTGCATTTTTTTGTCATTTGTTTTCAGGTACCAGTGACCCTTATGTAAAATTCAAATTGGATGGAAAAACATTCTACAAAAGCAAAGTGGTTTATAAAAACCTTAACCCTATATGGAATGAGTCCTTCTCTTTGCCTGTGAAGGATCTGAATCAGAAAGTTTACATTAAGGTAAGTCCTCTGTCACATTCTGGGTGGTGCAGCCTGAGAGCCATTCATAGGGGAAATCTATTTTGTATAGTAATAAATACATGAATTCTGTGTTTTAGTCAACAGTTTTAGTGTCTTACTGCCTCTGTGTCATAGTATTATGAAAGTAAATCACTGATCAATGCCTGTGAACCTTTCACAACGCGACAAAACAGCTGTAATCATGTGTGATTCCACAGACACTGCAGTAGTATGCCAGTTAATAATATATTAACTGCACCCATGATGCTCTTTGTGTTAACAATCTCTTGTTGTTTCACATGATGTAGGTGTATGACCGCGACCTGACAACTGATGACTTCATGGGCTCTGCCAGTGTCCTCCTGAGTAATCTAGAGTTTGACAAGTGAGTCTGGTGGGAAACTGTGTGTGGTAGTGGTGGAAGCAGCTGAAGTGAGCAACGGTAGTGATTTCCGTCTGGGTCTCTGAAATATCAGCATGTTCTATTTGGGTGTCAGAAGGTTACAAATCTTTTTTTTTTTTTTTTTGCAACATTTTTGTTGTGTTCTCTTGATTGATTGATTGATTGATTGATTGATTGATTTTTACAATAAATAGCTGTGACTTTGGTTTAAGTGCAGGTGAAAAGGCGCTATCTGGTGGACGTGTGATGAAGTTGTTGCTTCTAAATGACCTCATACACATCCGTGGTGCTTCTACCTACTTGGCTAACATACAAGCAAACAATAATATAACCTATTGACAGCCTCTGCCGGCTCAGCCCATTTATAGATCTCGCAAGGCATTGGCTTGAAATTGAGATGATGAAATTGAGTGATTATGCTTGTTAAATATTAACCTCAACAGTGTAGTGGCCGTTTCACTGTGGAAATGCTTCTGCTGTAGCATGTCATTTTTAGCATCAACAGTATTTTTAAATATCGATCTGTATTTTCTGGACAGGTAACTTGTGCAGTATGTGTTAATAGTACATAATGCATAAAATGTTTAGGGTTGTAGTGTGCATGGTTTTCACATTTCTACACTACTCTTTAAACCTAAACTAAAAGACATGTAAACATATTGCAATGTACTGTTTGAAGTCCCATCTGGTCCTCTCCTTCTAAAAGTCTGGCTCAGTTCTTTAGCAGCCAATTTGCACACAGCCCACCTCCACACACACATTTAAAGCTGTACACTGAGTGAATGTTGTACTGTAAAACACAGCTGACAGAGCCAACACAGAGCCACAGTGAGCTCTGCCCTTGTGAGGCTTGAATTGTACATACAAGTGTTGGTCAGATTTTCCACTTGATTTGGAGACCTTTCTGCTGGTTTATAACTGACACACCACAGCCTTAAAAATGACCACAGAGTTAATAAACACCACTGTTACGATGTGTTGACCAATTAAACATGGTAAACATAACCTTTTTGGCAGCGCTGTTTGCATTGTATTGTATTGGATTGTAGATGTGTTCTAACACCAACATAGGTAATATTTTTCTAAAAATATAATAGCACTTCTACTTAAAATGATCATTTGTAATAACATTCTTACCGGTAATGTAAAACCTTTCGGGTGCAAATTTGATTCACTTTTTAAGCATGTCATTTTTAGTTGCCGCACGTGTACTTCATAATAAACTAGCAACTTAATGTATCTTTAAACGTTCCTTCATCTGCTTCTGCAACTTGCATTTGCAGCAAAACCCACACCTGCAGCAATTTAACTGCTAAGTGTCCAGTAGCTGAATACTACTGGCTGATGTTGTGCTGCTAGGTGAAGGCACAGGTTGTTTTTGTCAGAATGATAATATTACATAGAGAATGGGTTGGGAAAGTCTGACTATTCTCTCCATATACTGCATCCTCCATGGCACATAACCGCCCATCTCTCATCCACATGTGTTTAACTTTAATTCACTTTGTTTCAGGGTCAATGAGCTGTCTTTGCCCTTGGACGACCCAAACAGCTTGGAGGAGGACATGGGCGTTGTGCTGGTGGACATGAGCCTGTCACTCAGAGATGGAGAGAGCAAAAGAAGCAATGTATGGCGAGCTCCCATGTGCATTTACTGCATGTTTTTGTAGCAGCAGGGATACCTGTTGTGCACTGGATTTGTTACATATTTATGGTTGTTCTGTTTCATTCTCTGGCCTACTAACCACAGTGTCATTTTGTCTTGCATCTAACATGCATGTTCCTGGCAGCAGAAGTGGCCCCAAAAACGAAAACTAAGTACTAGGGTAAGGCATGATGGGTGGAACACACTGGACAGACATCAAATGACATAGATAACTGCCAAATGTCAGATAGACTTCAATACACCAAGGAAAACAAACTACAATGAAAGATGTTCTTAGTCTGGTCTCTAAAATAATGAATATGTGTGAAAATTCCTTCATGCTCCAGTTTTGACCTTCAGACTAGTCAAATGGATCCACAAAATACAGTGACAGATTGTCTATATTTCCTTAAATTTGGCAGCTGCCTGTGCTGAGTTTGACCCAAATCATTTGTGTCTCTTGTCACAAGAGGGCAGCAAATCACCACATTTTAAAAACAGACAGCAGCATGTCTTACAGAAACTTGACAAAAGTATGTGATGTTTTACAATTAAATTGATGGTTCATTGGTGCTTTATGTGATTTATCTGTCCGGTGTTGAGAACAATCAGTTGTCTCCAAAGCATTATAAATTACTTTTTTCAATACAAAATTAGCTTGTGTGTTTAGAGTCAATAGTAAAAGCTGAAACATATTATAGGAGGACTGAGAGTACAGCATCATTAAGATAGGAAAACTGACTCTGTGCTGTCAGCTGCACCACATCTATCTGCAGTTTGCTAACATTAACTGCCATAAGTTACATGTCACATCAGGCCAAGTTACTCTATTGCAAAAAAACAACTTAATTTACTTAATTTACAAGGAGAAGAAGAAATATAGTTTTCATTTTTTCAAAAGTTACACAATTTTGTTTTAAAAAAATTAAACAATGCATTTGTAACAAGTTTTTAAGATTGATATGTACAGTGTGAACCACAGGCTTTAGGAGGAGTGCCACAACAGGGTGAAGTGAGAAGTTCCTTTTGATATTTTCATAGCATTTGGGGACAGTGTAAAACAGTTAATATTTGCAGGTGTCTATTAAATATATCTGACCATTGTGTTCTCATTGATGAGGTGTTTTCACTCAGAGCAGCTTCTGAACGCATGTGTTTTGCTTGGCATGCCTTTTTTCTGCACACTGTCCTATGTAATGCATGAATCTATGAATATGAGTGAGGCACAGCTTTGCTCACTCTAAGGATTGGTCAGAAAGACGTTTGACTCTTTTTGCATGCGTATTGATTAGATTTCAGCCACATAACTCTGTGTTTGGAAGGTGTTTGCATTACCGAACAGGAGTAGCTAATTAAGAGACCACTGAGCACTGGTACTCCTGCTGCCTCAGATACTTGCTGTAGTCCGCCAAGTGTATGCAGTGTGGCATGTTAATTGAAATGTGATTTTCTGCAAAATCAGACATTCCCACAGTTGTCAGCTTGGTCTGTGTTAATTGAATCTGTTCAAATTTATCTCTCAGTGCAACATTGTGTCTTCATGTAAGCTCAGGTAATTATCTTAGAATATGACTCCCTGCTATGTATGGAAGGGAGAGATGGTTCTCTGCGCTGTAGCTGCTGCAAGCTTTGCCTAATCTCTTAGTGAAATGACGAATCAGTACCGTTCCACCTTCATTGGAGAGGAGATAATGTTTCGTTCAGCTGTCTTCTACGTGAGCTTGCTGTAATGTTTAAAGCACTGATTCGGTGCATGTAGCCATCTTTTTAAAACAGAAGTATGGCCCTTTTCTGTTCACTGTGCTGCGGTGCCTTGTCTTTGCTACCACCCCTTCCCCCACTTCTTTCACCTTTACCCAATTTGTCTCTCTTGCAGACGGGAGGGACTCAAAGCTTTCGATTGTCAGAAACCCTGAGAAAGAGTCAGCTGTGGACTTCTGTTGTGTCAGTGACACTGGTTGAGGGTCAGGAGCTGCCTCTGGACACCCACGGAGGTCAGCTCTTCGTTCGCTTCAGACTGGGAGAGCAGCGATACAAAAGCAAGGTACCCCATGGAGGACTGATGGTTTTCATTTCTTCCACACTTTTGCTTCTTTTGATTTGTCCTTGTTATTTCTAAACTCTCTTCACCTATCTTTTTTCAGCCAGTCTCTTCTCCTTAAAGCCCCATTCCTCTGCTCCTTTGTTCATCTCCTGAAACACTCAACACTTCTCAACACTTTTTGATCCCTCCTTCCCTAACCTTTATATTAATTTTCTGTCCGGCTCCCTTGAAATTCTGTACTATTTTCTTTATTTACCTTTTTAAAGGTGAAATCAACGATCCAAGTCCATGACCGTTTTTGTCGAACATATTGAGCTTTTCCTTATGTTGTGCTTGCTGTCTGTTCTGTGTGCTCACTGAAAAACATCTAGTGATTGTACACAACCCTATTTCTATAAGTGGGAAACAAATGGGATCCACACACCACTTTTTCACTGTGTCCTGTGCACACTCATGCTTATGCCCAGGATGGGCGAAAGGTACGGGAAGGAGAGCTTGAGGAAAAGAAGACGTTCAAAGCAAGAGGGACAGTAAATCTGGTACAGGCTAAATAAACACATGTCAGCTACTTAAATATCAACAGTCTGTCACAGACTTCACCTTTAATCATGCCTATGTAGAAGACATGCAAACAATTTTCCAGTACTCACAGCAACTTAGTCTAACTTGTTAAGGAAATGAATGCTCTTTTTTTGGTCTATATTCCAAGTTTCTATTGATAAATGAGGCTCACTGAGAGGCTAAACCTGTACCTGTTGATAAAAGAAAAAAGTCAGTCAGATTCAAGTTTAAAGGAGCACTTCATCATTTAAACATAAAAATCTTCCTGCAAGTCAGTAAGAGGTACCACTCAGTGGTACAATGTTCTTTGTGGCTCTGGAGATGATTTGTCAAGTGTGAGAAAATAGCCCTTGATGATGTCCACAGGGTGATCTTAGAGACCATTAATGGGAACCCTGCATTACAAACCGAATGGAGCTTGAAAGATGTGAGAGTTTTCAGGCAGGGTGCATGTATTGACACAAACCATCAGGCTGCATTATGGGAACTAAAAGCCAGAAAATCTTGGCTTCTGCTGCTTGAATTTTGAACATTATTTCCCCCCCCCAACTTTATACAGGTATAAAACTAATTTGCTGGAGTACCCCTTTAAAATTTAAAGTGGATGTTAAGTCTCACTAGTTCTTTACTGACATATGCAATAAGGTTAGATTTTTATTTGATTTTTTAGAGATTGTTAAATGTGTCTTTAAAAAACAGTAAGAAACAATTTAGCTGATGGAAAAACTACCTTAAATCATTGCAATTATTTGTTCCAAATTAATTTGTTGCTTTTATAGAAGTATATTTGCAGAAACAGACTATGTCTCAGCATGATATATATCAAGTGAAAATAGCTTTTGGTTTGCAAAGTCTTGATGGTACAGAAACACAATATAGACACAATGCTACACTGCTCTGATGCTGAACAGATCTACAGCTGATATATAGTTTGTGGTGTGTAATGTTGTTTATGTTTCAGATTTATGAATCTATTGTTGATTTCATGTGTTGTGCAAAGGTTTTAGGCATTTTTTTTTTCATGCGCAGGTTTATATATATATGTATATGTGTGTGTGTGTGTGTGTGTGTGTGTGTGTGTATATATATATATCTTCTGCATAGTTGTGTTAGCAGGAAATTTCCTATTTTACATTTCCAAACATACATTTTGAAAACATTGTAGTATGTAATCCAGTGAGATATTTGTATCATTGAAAAAGACCACTTTCCAGATAAACATTTGTACGCATAAATCCCAGTGCGTGATTAACTAATTATACCAAGCAGGTGCGAATGAATAACAACATAATATGTGAGTTGAACTGATCATCATTACCTAAAACAGCTGTGTGGAAATGATAAAACTGGGTGTGGGGAGGTGACTGAAGAAATGGCAGTTTTATCTATCAACTTTACACCCTGACAAGTTTTAGCATAGCAACCAGATACAAAATGCTCATCTTATGTCAGCAAGGTCTGTCACAGGCAGAAGAGCAGGTAGGTCTTGTTCCACCCATATATAGACAAGAGAAGTCTTGTCAGGGGTGAGTGCAAGCTGTTCCTCTGATGTGCAGCAACGCAGCAATGAGAGGCACAAACAGAATACCATCAAGGAGGAGTATGATTGGCCCTGAATTCATCCACAGCTAGACAACAAGCTCAAACATCCAGTCAGAGCCATAATGAACTGTCTTTAGCTACAAGCACAATAAAGAGCCCGAATCACAACATCATGCAGTCAGTCTGGGATGATGAACAGAAGCAACTAAGATATTTTTTTTCTTTTGTTGACATCACTTTGAATAAGGTTAAATGATAAATAAAACCTATATGTGGCTTTATTGTATCCAACTTCATCATACAGCACTGTATAGCTAATTCTGCATTTTTATTTGCTTTTTAGTTGATGTGGTGTGCAGTGTGACCTACAGTTAATGCAGCAGTACAATGATCTCTTCAGTGGTACAAATGTTATGGGAGGAACAACCTTGTAATCCACCGATCATGTAAAAATGGAACAAGAGCCAAGAAGATAAAGCAGAGATAAAGCAGATTTGAAGTGTGTGACATGAAATGCCCAATCTGCTCTGCTCTTCCTGGCTGCTGGATGGTGTCTTAATGAGTCATTAATGAGTTTTTTGCTATTGTGCATCATCATCCATTACACATCAAAGCTCCATGCTAATAAGGAGCAATGCTCCTTTTCTTTTCTCATATGTAGGTTCAAAGTGATTGTGGTAATTACCTGTTATGCCTTCATGTGTGTGAATTTCTGATGCTGCGAAACAACAAAAAACATTCACACACTAGTCTGTTGGGAAATCAAATTCACACACACAGTTAAAAGTCCAAACATGGCAAAGGCTTCATTTCGTAAATATGAGCTATGAAGGTTTATTGAGATGACTGCAAACCTGTTAGTGAAGTCAGTGTTTTCAGACACTTGACTGATACAAAATTAACTTTTACAGCATTTAGAAAAATGTAAATAACATAATTACAACATAACATGGAAATTGTGTTTTTTGGCCATTAGCTGAATTTGAATGGCTGCTGTCATTCCCCAGTGTGCACGCATGTTCATAAATGTATGTCTTGATGTTTCATGTCCTGTCTGATTCAGAATCACTGCAAAGTGTCAAACCCTCAGTGGAGAGAGAGGTTCACCTTTAACCAGTTCATGGACAGTCCAGAAATCCTGGAGGTGGAGCTCTGGTCAAAGGAGGGACGAAGGAGTGAGGAGTGCTTGGGGACGTGAGTCTGTTCGGGTCCTTGGATCTGCCTGTCTGTGTGTGCCTGCCTGTTACAAACCTGATTACTTGTACATCTGTTTATTTATTCTAACCTTTTGCAAAGGCCTATTGTTCACCTCTTTAGAAGCTGGTGTTGTTATATAACAAAAATGAGATTAGCAGTATTGCCACACCAGCTACTCTGTTTTCCCTATTCATAAATTTAGAGTAAAGCTCAGTGATTACCCACCCACCGGTATGTTTATCCAATCAGGTTAAGAGTTCACGTTAGTATCTAAGTGAGAAAGAGGAGTGTCATACAGCCTACTTGACATGTGAAATGTGTGACATACTGTGAATCTGTTGTTCACATGCATGTACGTGTAGATTTTATGTGCATACATGTATGTGTGTCTGTGTTTTCAGGTGTAAAGTGGACGTGTCCAGAGTCCCTGTCAATCAGAGGCAGCTGATCACACATACACTGGACCAGGGTAGAGGACGTTTGGTCCTTTTGCTCACACTGAACACATGCAGCGGCGTCTCCATCTCAGACCTGTGTGCCGCACCGCTCGATGAACCACACGAACGACAGAACCAGCTGGACAACTATGTCAGTATCTGTATCATGCACTTCTATATGTATTGTATGGTTGCATCACTTCACCGTCTACATTTCCCACTCTGCACTCACCAAGCACTATTCATGAATAATAACAACACGGCGTCAGGCCTCTCTTTGCTCTCAAGCCTCAGTTCTTGGTGTCATTGATTCCACAAGATGTTGGAGAACTTCCTTTAGAGATTCCCCTCCATGTCAACATGATTGAGTTACATTATTTAAACAGATTTTTCAGCTGCACGTTCATGCTGTCAGTTTCCTATTTTAACCACATCCCAAAGGTGTTCTACTGTTTAGACCATTTCCTGTTCACTAAACCTGTTTGAGATAACCTTTAATTTGTGACATGCTGCATTATTATGCTGTAAGCACTCATTAGATGATGGTAAACTTTGGCCAAAGAGGGATGCACATGGTCAGCGACGACACAAAAGCCAGCTGTGGCATGATTGTTGGTATTAAGGAACCCAAGGCATCTAAGAAAATATTCCACTGCACCTGTGCACCACCAACTGTCTGGGCTGTTGACACAAGGCAGGTTAGGTCTATGAATTTCTATTTCTGATGCCAAGTTCTATAGAAATGGAGATTCTTTAGACCAGACTGTGTTGGTAAGCCTGTGCCCATGGCTGCCTCAGATTTCTGTTCTGGGCTGACAGGAGGGGAACCGGACACGGCCTCCTGTTGTTGTAGCCCATCCGCCTCAAGGTTGGATGTGTTATGCATTTTGAAATGCTTCCTGCTCACCACAGGTGTAAAGAGTGATTATCTGAGCTACTATAGCATTTCAGCTCCAACCAGTCTGGCGTTTCCATCTGCAGAACGGCTGTTCATTAGATCTTCTTTGTTTTTTGCATCATTCTGAGGAAACCCTAGAGACTGCTGTGAGTGAAAATCCCAAGAGATTCACAGTTTCAGAAATATCAAACCAGGATGTCTGGCAACAGCAACCATCAATCAGAACAGAGTCAAAGTCACTGAGATCACATTTTTCCACATTCTGTTTGATCAGAACATTTACTGAAGCTTGTGGCCTATAGGACTTCATGCATTGCACTGCTGCCGAATGACTGTCTGATTGCTAGTTGCATAGATAAGCATTATGTAATGGGAGTGTGTCACTTATGTTATTGAATTGTAGTAACCACATGATAAACAGTCAAATTCTATTTTTTTTTCTATCCATTTTTAAGTAGTATATTTTGAAAAGGCAACTCCAGAGCACCCATGTGTTTTTCACCACCCTTTCAACCTTTAGCCCTCACTGTGTAAAAGACAAGAGGACCATAGCCCAGCTTTAAAATGGAGCACAGCTCCTTAAGCACTTTGAATCACCATCAGTTAAATGTTAACTTTTTGAAGAGTGTCTGTGTCCATAGAGCACATATCATATTTAACCCTAAGGACTTTCCTAACCTGATAAAACATACCTAAAATTAATCAGTATTTAGAAAGTAAAATATCAGTTTAATTAAACTATATTGTGATGGAAGTCGTCCCAAAGACGTCTGCAGCACTTTCTGTTACATCGGTGTGACAGAAATTCTGTGTATGGTGAGTTCGGATTTGGAATCCTAATGTTTGGAAGTGTAATCTGAAGATACAACTGGGTGTCTAGCAATGACAAAAAAGATGTCATGATAAAAATAAGGTTCAACTGAGAAGGTGTGCACATTGGAAAGAAACCCAGTCCAGCCTGAAGCCGTCCAGTTAACTAAAATTGATGATGCACAGAGATGAGAACTGATTAATTATTTTGAACTGAAGATACCACCCCATTACAGCCTGCCTTAAATATTAGTATCAAAAGCTTTTGTGATAAGTACTGTGCTGGTTTGTTGATGTTAGAATTTAGGGATGCACAATATATCGGTATCGATATCGGACATATTGGTATTGGTCCGATGAGCAAATTTAGCCGATCTTGTCTATCCCAGACATTCATTCTGCAAAACTTACAGCCGAGAGAGGGCAATGAACGTCGCTAAAATTGCAGCACTGGGTTGTGATTTGGACATACTACACCAACATGGAGTCCGATCGGAGACTACGCCGGCAGTTACCCGAGAGAGAAGGAAGAGCAAGCAGGACGAACGTAAACAAAGGAGGAGGAAGAGAGCCGGGATCCGTGCTAGGCTGAAGGCTAACCCCTCCAGACCAGCAGGACCATCGCTCCTACTGTCCGTTCCCTCAACAACAAGCTGGACGAGCTATGTTTGCTGAGAGAAACCCGCAGAAAGTGGAGAGACTGCTGCGTGATTGCTTTAACAGAACCATGGCTCCATGACACCGTCCCAGACGGCCATACAGCTGGAGGGGACGACATTTAGAGTCCTCGCCAGGATTTTTTGACAGCATGTCCAAGCAGGGGTGTCTTAGCGAATACTGCTTACGGTTAGCTGGGAATGTGCTAGCGAATAGCAGCGGTAGCAGCAAAGACGATGATAGAGAAACCACATCGCCGCTTGTTGTTAAATATTTTCCCGCTACATTCAGGCAAAGCGTAACAGGCTGTTACTCTGTTACAATGCTGGCGAGAACCGTGGACATCGTTCCAGGCGGACAGACAGGCGGCTAGCTCCGAACTTTTCCAGAGCCACTGCAGAAGCAGGACACTGAACATTGTCAGGGACTCCTCACACCCTCTCCATAAACTGTTTGAACTGCTGCCATCAGGCAAAGGTTTCTGAAGCATTAAAGGAATGAACCTCCAAACTGATCAACAGCTTCAACAGCTTCATTCCACAAGCTGTCAGAATGCTGAACTGCTGATCCAAAATTGCTTTTAGTTTTTGGATCCTGAAGAAACGCTCTCTCATCTTATTTGTACTACTGTTGTATGTACAGCAAAATGACTCTAAACTTGATTTGATTGATTTGATTTGTCTCTATATTTGATATTGCTGCTATTTCACAGATGTTTTCACATAAATGGTCCTGGACTTGAACGTTAAATATCTTTAAATATGTTTAAATTTGTTTTACTTTTGTTGCGTAGTAAAAACGAGTTTGTGGTCTAATTTGATATGGGCTTCTTTTGAATAGTTTTCACGTTCTCACAGTGCTTACATACTAATTTTTTGGTGTGAACAAAAATTGAATATTGACATCGGTAATATTGGTTATCGGCGATATCAGACATCTTAATATTGGATATCGGTATCAGCCAGAAATTTTAATATCGTGCATCACTATTAAAATTGCAACCACTGGTTTCTTTTCTAGCCAGAAAAATGTGAAAATGCTTACAGTGCCTTGATACTGGCTCGCATTGTGGTGAACATTTTGTTTGGATTGACTGTCGGCTATGTGGTAATGCATTTACAGGCATGGACCGTTTTTTGAGTGTTGATGATGTATTGAAGGTCATATGAACAACATCGGACATTTGAGAATTGTAAGCCAGCTGTTGAAGATGAAGTTCTGTCTTTCAAAATGAAGTGGATAGTCTAAGATCCTCAATGCTTTCTGATTAAGATTATTGCAAGAAAGAGATTAATGGAACAAGGAACATGGATTTATGTTGATGTACTTATATAAATCTGGGTGTGGATTGAATATTCTTGTTAAGAATTTTGTAAAGTTGGTGATGATGTACAAGATTTCGAGTATTGTGTAGTCTCTGCTGAATCATTTAGACTCTTCAAAGGTTTTTGATTTCACATGCTTCAACATTTAAGCTTTCTTGTCTACTTGCTGTCCCCTCAGAGTTTTCAAAGGTCCCTGAAGAACTTCCGTGATGTTGGTTTCCTTCAAGTCAAAGTTATCAAAGCTGCAGATCTGCTGGCTGCTGATTTAAATGGTACTTCACACATTTGAAATATATTCTTTTGTTGAAATAGAAATAATCACACAAACCCAGTGTTAAAATGTTGCGTGTTGTGGTCTGCAGGCAAGAGTGACCCTTTCTGTGTGCTGGAAGTCGGGAACGACAGACTACAAACCCACACAGTCTATAAGAGCCTCTATCCAGAGTGGAATAAAGTCTTCACATTGTCAGTTTGAGTTTGTCTTTTTAACTGATTTTTGTCAGTAACACTGGACCACATTATCTTCCTGTTGCAATGCAGATAAAGGAATTGGGACTTAATGCTATTGTATGAGTTGCTTTGTAAGTGTCTGACCCCCTTGTCTGTTTCTGCAGTCCTGTCAAAGACATTCATGATGTTCTGGTGGTGACTATCTTTGATGAGGATGGAGACAAGGCGCCAGACTTCCTGGGAAAAGTTGCCATTCCCCTGCTTTCGGTACACACTACCTCACTGAGAGTCTGTCATGCAGAGAATAGACTAATCTATTTACACTCTGTGTCTAAATTAAAGTGAAGAGGGCAATCACACTCTAGCAGCTTGAAGACTTGCTAAGATGTAATCTAGCATGACTGATGGCCAGGTTCATGGCTCAGTGCAGCACCTGATGCCCTTTCTGTCCCACAGATCCATGGGGGACAACAGATCGCCTTCCCACTGAAGAAAGTGGACTTAGGTGGGCTGTCAAAGGGGAGCATCACTCTGGAGCTGGAGGTTATTTTTAACCCTGTAAGTAAAAGTTCACCCTGCAATGAGGACATGATGGCTTTGAAAGGCGGGCCTGATTCTGTCTGCTTCTCATTGCTTTATGGCTTTTTTTTTTTTTTTTTTTATCAGGTCAGAGCAAGTATAAGAACCTTCCAGCCAAGGGAGAGAATGTTCGTGGAAGATAATCCCAAATTTTCCAAAAAGGTTTGACACAGCTTTGATACATTTACTGTATAATCCATGGTCGAGAAATCATCATTTTGCATGCAAAAATAAAAACTGGTATTATATCAACAAGGTACATTAGATTTTAATCTTAGTTCTTCACTTGACTTACTTTTCCTGAGTAGCATAGACTTGGGTGACTAGTGGAATTCACTGAAACTCAAATCAAAGTAAAAGATTTAGCTAATAAGCTAATTTAGTGATAGAAGATGAATCACTATTTTGATGATTGTTCTCATTTTTTAAGCAAAATGCTGCACATTCTTCTGTATTTTAGGTTTTATAGTTGTAAAAACTTTATGTGATGTTAAACGCTATCTTTGGTTTTAAACAAAACAAGAAACTTGAGGACTGCCACATTAGATTTTAGGAAATTGTGATTATAAAAAATTGCCATTTTTCTCATTGTATTGTATTATGGACCAATCAGTTAAGAAAATGTTCGGAAGATTAATCAAATAAATAAATGAAAATATGTGAGCAGGTCAGGGATTAGTGATAATATTTCTGTGTGTGGTGCTCTAATAGTGAAAGCTTCAACTTGGTTTTTTTTTTTTTTTACTTGGCTCTATAATGCAGAACAACTCCAAAAGCAGACCTTCCTTTTGCCTGAATTAGTTGAATTGAGCCTTAATTGAGCCCAACTGTGAGCGAATTCTTGTTCAATCTTCTGCTACATTAGTTTGATATACAGTGTGCAAGACAGGGTGTGAGACAGGGTGCCTGACTGTCTGTACTTCCAACAAAGCCTCATTGTTGTCAGACAATACATCGCTCACTAACGCCAAAATTGGCTTCCACTCTGAGGCTTGTAACGTGCACGTTTTCAGTCTGTTTTAATGTTGAAAGTCTTGTTCCACAAAATCAGGTCAGATTACTGACATTTTTTGCCCCCTGACCACAGTAGCTGATGCCAAAACATGCCAGCCCCTCTCACTGTGTCGCAGGCTGACTGGATTCTTGTCTCTTGTTTGATATGGGTGGAACTCGTTACAAAATCAACCCATGCACAGTGAAAACATCATTAACTGCAGCCATATTTTGTACACAACTACTGTAATATTAATGCTTCTTGTATGTTTCTAATCTGTGTCTTTTAGGCTCTGGCCAGGAACGTGCAGCGTGTTCAGACACTGTACAGGGCTATCACTTCGACTCTGCAGTACATCAAAAGCTGCTTCCAGTGGGAGAGTATTCAGAGGAGCCTGCTAGCCTTCCTGGTGAAGTGCTTTAACTGCTTATCAACACACTATCTGCATTTCCCTCTGTTTTCCCTCCAAGGCTGCGGAAGACAACCGCAGTCTGGCCAACCCCTACTTGAACTCTCCCAGAGAGAATCTTAATCAATGCAGCATTGGGCTCAGCAGAAACGCAGGCTTGGCTCCGGCTCTGTGTTGGAGTGGACACTTTCAGTGTTGCGTGTCTCCTGGATGCAGAGTTAAGCCTCAGCTGGAGAGAGCAGAGTCCCAGTGGAGTCAAGATAGTCTATTTTTGTTCTACTTCCCTGACAACTCATTAACCCTCCGTCCAGTCAGTGCTCAGTTTGATTTAGACCTCATTATGCAGACAGAAGTTCAATTAAAAGGCTCTTCAGAGATAAGACCGATTCTCCGTCCTGTCATTGTTGAATACAAGTGTTAAGCAAGTGTGAAGACAGAAACACAGGAGTAGCCTTTCAGCCCTTGTCTTTAAACTGCAAAGTGAAGAGGGTGCTGATCTTTTGTCATTATTCTCTCACAGATCTGGCTCGATAAAAATGGCATACAGCAAGTTGTTCATTAACTATGCAGGCAATCAAGGTCATTGAAAGTTCCTTTTGTTTTTTCATCTCACATCCTGTAGATGGCACTAAAGATTTGCTCAGCCTTGAAGGACTTCCTTACAAGAATAATGAAGAGATACTGTACACCGGCCAGTAGTACAGTTTGTTTAATTTGCTGTGAAAAATGGAAGCTGTTATCTGAGCAGAAACGGCTCTCTGTGTTGTAGCTTTGAGCCATGCAGTTTGGTAATTTAGGATTACATTGATATAAGCTGCGTCACCAGGATGGGGTCAGCGGTCAGTGTACTTGCAACTGGAATGTTTAAATCATAGTGGTATGCAAGCACTCACAATGCAACACTACTTTTTTGGGTGCAAAAGATTCTTAGTTAAGTAACTTAACAATACCCCTCCAGCCCCTGTGCACTATTAGTTATCAGGGATAGTACTGTTGTTTTACCTGGCAGCTCAGACACTCACACCGAAACAGAAATCACAGAAGCAAGAATAAGTGCACCACGTACACACACACGTCCTCCCACTGCATCTCAGTGTTTGAAAGACAGTACCATCTGTACTCATGTTTTCACACTAATGCTCACTGCCTTTTCAAGCCTCAGTGAGAAGAAATAAATGGCTGCTTAATGCCACCACATAAGCGTACTGAATCAAAGCTTCACTCTCCATGACAGGATACAGAGACGAGCTACCTGCACCATCTGCCGATTGTCAGACAGACAAAGAGCTTTAGCCAATACAATATGCTTTAAAAGTACCTTCTTATGCCCTGGTTATTTTAGTGAGAGTCGTCACTCCTGGCACATTTAGTCTTGTCCTAACCACTAACCAACATAGATCACATACTGTTGCACTCCTTTACTTTTTTTTTTGAAAAGCATTTGCTGTTTTCTTTTTTTATGACTTGCCGTTTTTGTTTTTTTTTGTTTTTTAAATTTAACTTCAGCACTGTGAATCAGAAAAAAGATGCAGCCTGTTTCCTAATAGCACTTCCACAGTTTTCCATTCTCATGGCTTGCCCCACCCAAACACAGGATCTAGCAGGATTCACCCAAAATATAAATGCTGTCTTAGAAATGGAAATGAAAATCCAATACAGTTCTAAGGGAATGCACTGTTAACATTACTCCCACATGTAAATCAGCGTCCTCAGTGGGCCTCCACCTCTCACTCACGTCAATGTTACATATACAGCAAGTGTTCCTCTCACCTAAGCTCTTGTAGCATCTCTCAATGTCTAAGAATAATTTGCTGTGTCATAATATACTGTCTGGGTCTGATCCTAGAATGAATGTGAAAAAGGAGATGACACTACTTAAAATATACAGTTTTGCACAGACTGTGACGTTGGCAATGTAAAATGTCAATCTTGATCCAAAATTAGTGGATTTCCACAGTGGATGTACCAGTCTACCCTCAGCACCTCGTCACTTCTAGCAGGCTGCAAAATGTTTAAAATCAGGTAAACCATTGGGGTTCTAGAATTAACAACGTACAATTTAAAGTGCGTGAGTACTGAAATGTTTAGAGAAGAAGTCATGCTAAAATCTGCTCAGAAGCTGGAAACAGTGGTGTGCTGTGAGCACACTGATCGAACGTGATTGTAATAGTTAAACAACGGCCAGTGTTTTAGATTCAGTAGGTGGCTCACCCAGCATTAAAAGTGGACTCTGGAAATCTGGAGAAAGACTGCTTATATTTATGTAGTTAACACATTTAGATAAGATGTTTCACATATCCTCCCCCCACCTCTCCTTCTTCCTTTCCTCCTCTGTTTCTCTTTGTCCTGTGCAAGAGCACCGACATGCACACACATGAACGTGTACATAAAACACTGAAATAGTACTTCATGAATCGGCCCAAGCTACTTTGTTTTCCATTTACAGAGCCAGGCCTGTGTGCAAACAGTGGATGTATTTTCAGACTGCTTTTAAGCGATTCTGATCAAATCTATAATTGGATTAGAATTGCTGACATTACATTTATATACTGTATTATACATTACTACATATTTTTTCCACAATTTAAAAACCAAATCTAGTTTTTAAAAAAAAATCTACAAATTTAGGGCACTGGTGCAAAAGTGATGGATTTTTTAATATCCTTACATTTTAGTAAGTTTTTAGGGAAATGTTCACACATTTACCAAATACACAAAACAACAAAAAATGGCTAATTTGCAGGGTTTGCAGGCTTCTGTGGCTCCATAACAGTTTATATCATGACAAATAAGCACAAAGCAGTTGTGTTTTTTATGAATAGTAATATATAAATTAATAATTTAGATTAAATTGGATTTAAACGATTTGAATTGCCTGTTCATCCCATTCGCAGTGATAGTCACAGAGCCAGTTCATTGTCTCTGAGAAGTGTCAGTGCGGTCTCATTCTGTCTCAAAATCACTCTCTCCATTAATGGATGGCATTACATTCTGCTCACTGTATAGAAGACCTCTCTTTACTGGAAGGATTCTGAAAAGAAAAATGAGGTACTTTCCAGGCTAAATGTTTTCAGTGTAAATTAACCCTCAGTAGGGCTGATTTAGGGAAAGTCTTTGGTGTTTTCAGACAGTTTTTATGATTGAATTCACAATATACATTTTTAAATTGAAGTCAAGATCAATATTCACTGTGTAGATTTAAAGTATGTGATGGAGAATTACAACATGAGACACCGTCAACAGTACAACTGTTACTCAAGAAAGAGGGCATGAATATACAGAACACTGACAGGACAGTTTAATAGAATTTTTTTGCTTTCATTTTTTTACAGATAGAAAAATGAATTCATTGCAAATAAAAAGCACTGTTGCTGGATAAACACAAGGACTTTGCTGCTACAGTCTTGCTTGTTCTGATATGACCACAAACCTGTGGTAGCTAATGTTACCGAGTGTTAATTTGTAAATTGTGTACAGTGTAAAATTTGTAGGTAGATATTGCAGTCCCATGACTTTATGACTCTTCTCTAATTGTACTACTGTTGTACTACCATTTTACAGTAATCATCCTGCTTACTTTGGCCACACTAGGTGTGCTGTCCACTCACATGTTCTCACTTTTAAACAATGAATGGTGTGAATTAATTGATTTCTGTGCCATACCAACCCTCCCCCCGAACATGAATCCTGCTGCTTTCTGCAAATGTGCTACCCTCCAGTTCAGTAGCTCTCCCAGCATTAGGTAGCCTTTCTTTATTTCTTTTTTTTTTTCTTTCCTTTTTTCTTTTATTTTCTGTGATCTGGATTGTATTCCCAGAGCCCCCTTTTGCTGTCGAAGACTGTGTAATGCCTCTCAAGCTGAAATGGGCGGCAATTATCACAATCTTTATAGGCTGAGTATACATTTCCACCAAAGCGTGACTTTGCTTTCCCCCCCCAATCCCGGCTCCCCAGCCTTACAAAGTCCAGCGAGGAATTGGTTTCATCTCCTCTCCCAGGCCCTGTTTAACACAGACAAGAGCGTGCTTGGCTTTTTGCACATTAAAGCTGGCGGGGTGGGAGGGGGGGAGTCTGATCTGCCATCTTTTATGTCAGTTGGTGCCTCAGAGGAGAGTGATGTCTTTACCAGATGTTCACTTCTATTTTTATTAGCATATAAAAACCTGTAAACCCTTCCCATCGCCTTTTGGCTCACTGCCGTTTTGGCCGGCGTTGCCTCTCTGACAGGATTATTTTCTAGTTCCATTTAGCTGTTTAATTGAGACATCACAGGCCATATTTCTTGATCCTCGTATCCTTTTTACCTGAGCCACACGCAGGTGGAATGTTCATCCTAAGTGCCATTACTGACTATCATGACATATTGGTTCATAGCCTCCCTGTGGCTACAGTGAATTGATTGGTTTTAATGTCTGCAAGATAAGAGAGACAGAGCAACTGGACCTATGTGATTAGTAAATGTATAGGCAGGGGGTAGAGGAGGACTCAGTCCAGCTGAGCAGAGTGGTCACCATGGTTTGAATATGTGAAGTAACTCTACAAAGCATGCAAGGCTTTGATAGCGACAGGGTAGCCTTCTTGTGCTTGTGTAATCCAATCAACCTTTAGCTAACAGGGACTCAGGAGCAGTTGAAAATGTCTTTAAATGTCACTTGATGAAGGGCAGTTTGTTTATCCTGCCACCCTCCTTGTGCTTGACCTTACTAATATTTGACCTCTGCACTCTCTGTCTGCAGATATTTGTGGTAACTGTGTGGCACTGGGAGTTTTACATGCTGCCCTTCTTCCTGGTTCTGCTCATCTCATGGAACTACCTCCAGATCCGCTCGGGGCGTGTCAGTCAGGACATGGTGAGTCCAGAGCAGCTTCATCAGCCTGGTGGCTCCAGTTCACACTCCTTTTTTTGTTTTTGTTTTTTTTTTGTTTTTGTTTTTTGTAGCAAGAAAACCACCTAAACCACATTTTGTTCACATAATTAAAAGCTGATATGTTTCCATAGCAACCAGTTGCACATGGCAACCTGATGTATAATAATAAAATAACACATAAGCATAGAAAATTCACTGAATAGACTAATGTAACAGGCCATTCTTGCCTGGGCTAATTTACAGTGCTTGTCCTTTACTAATTCTTCTGTTTTTTGTTTTTGTTTTTTTCCCATTCCACTTTTAGTTCTTATCCTGAGTCTTGCAACTGTTTCAGTGTAATTAATCTGTTCTTGTTGTGACTGGTCAATTTTTTTGAAAAAAAAAGTTTCTAGCACTCTACTCTGATAAAAGTCAGAGTGCACGGTGCTCTTTCCCCCGCACTGTGACCACTGACTGAGTTTTACCAATACAGGGTATTCTGAGCAGCTCTCAGTAATAGTAGCTCAACACAGACTGTAGGCTCTAGCAGATTACATGCACAAGTACTGTTCAGACAACAAGGCTAACATTAATTAATCCGTCATTTATTTGTCAAATTATTTCATTAAGTGTTTAGATAATTCAATATCAGAAAACAGCCAAGGTGACAGATTATTTGTTTATTTATTTATTTCTGACTTACACTCCTACACCTACACTAAAACTTGTTAAAGGTTTAATTATCAAATTAACTGGGAGTGTGTGACAAAATCATTTTAGATTTGCATATACAACATATGTTGGTAAAGGGAAGAATACATTTCAGGAGATGAAGTTTCTTTTTATTGTTATGTTTGTATTATCAACTTTGAATGAACCTAAACCCCCAAAGACATGGTTTCAAATCGCTATAAATACTCATTAAAAAGTATGCAACAGTTAATGTTTTGGGGGTCAAAAATGAATCTGCCAGCCAGGGTGACTCATAAGCAGAAAATCTCTTAAGCAACCTTTAATAGCCTTTTGACTTGAGAGTCCCACCCACTTCAAACCAGATGAAAAAATTATGAAATAAAACTCTCATTTGAAATGACCCAAACAAGTTGTGTTTAAAGGTACCTTGTCAGAATCTGGGGCTTTCAATGCCTTTAATATTCTGTTTATGCCATGTCACAATGAAGTTTTAAACCTACGGTACCTTACTTTTTTTCCCACTTTGGGGGTATCAGAAGCAAGCTTTGAATGCCACACTGGCATTTAGCATTGATGTGGCATTTTTCAGACATATGTAGATTAAGTAGTTGCTCTTAGTATGTGGCCCTTTAGCTGCTAAATGCTCCACTACTGACTGAGGCTGTTGGGTGCTTGGCAAGTTGGTGTACAGAGAGTTTCAGAGCGATCGGACGTTGTTTTTTGTAACAGCAGGGAAAAATAGTCCTAAAAGGCTGAAAAGCTAGGAGAGTGGTGAGAATGAACAAAAAGCGTTGTGAGTTGGAAAAGCAAAACAACGACCTGAAAGAGGCTAAAACATTCAGTAAAACTGAGAGGGACGTTCCTACATGGACTTGTCACTATTAACAGCTCAGTTCACATACGAGTAGTCTTGTGATGCATTTCTGACAGAAAGATCTTGATAATAGCTGTTTATAAAAATTCTGGCATGTCAGAGTGAGCTGGGAAAAAAGCCAGCGTGGCCTGTCGGTCAGATGTCCTGCAGCGCAGAGTGTTTCAGGAGGCTAATCCCAGGGTCAGTGCTGAGCCGCTGGAGTTAATACAAGGTTTCAGTGTCACAGTGAGGCCAAGTTTATTATGTCTGATCTTGGAATCCCTAGAATCTCACTTCTCCATTGCAATTGTTTTCTTCCAGGACAGCATGGATTTGGCAGATGAGGAGGACGATGAGAAGGTACGTACCTGTGCCTGCTGTTTTTTGTACTTCACTGCTGACTTCTGTATGCTGATGAATAAAAAAGAATTTAGCTTTATTTTTCATGTTGACAAAGGCATCTCTGTCTGATCTGTGGGTCTGTGTTGCTAAGCTCTTTATTCAGTACAAAATCTTCTGATGCATTTTGATTCCTGCCAGCCGCTAGTTGTATTTTTTGTAAACTTACCAAAAGACATTTGAGCTTAATGAAGACCTCACCAACCCGTTTCCACTTGTCACGACACATTCATATGCAAATAGAGGGGCGGGGCTGCATTTGGAAAGTCCCTGAGCTTAACACACCATATAATACCATCAATATGGAACTAATGACAGCACTTAGATATGCTCTTTCAGGGCTCATTTGGAAAGTTTATTTTGAAAGTATTAAAATGCTTTTAGGCAGTGAAATATTTCTTCAGAATGACAGCAGTTTATTGTAGATGTTTTGTGTAGCCTGAGGAGTGGGTCCTCATACTGGTTCCACTGGGAATATGACCCTAAAATGGCTGAAGCGGTTTAGTGTACTGATGGATATTTGACTGAGGTGAAACTAGATTTCTCTTACATGTGGTTTTGGAGACTGAGTCACTCCATCTGGAATATCCTTTGGCCCTGTGAAAAGCCCCCCCAGTAACCACTGCTGCCTCCCCACCATCCACACTGACTGCAGCTCCTCTCTTTAGACCCATAACCCTCCTCTAGTCTCCACGCATTTGATGTGGACATGTGGCTGTCTGAAGTCAGCGTCCCACTGCAGAAAGCTTCAGAGAGTCTCCTCTGTTTACTTTCAATCTGCTCCTCCCTCCTGGGACCTGGACTAGCCTGGGAACTTCTCTTCATCTCTTTCATAATGCGATGTCCAGTCCTGTTCTGAAGAGCTTTCACTTCCAAATCTGACGTATATTTTTTACTTGCATTTGCCTTTACATTTGCATTTTGCAGACAGTCTTGACAAGAGCAAGACAGAATGAACCTGTCTAGTGTTTTGGTTGCTTGTGTTGATCAGAACTGTGGTCTTGGGAGTGTTTATTTTTGAGCTAACAAATTACCCCTGAACTTTTCTTCTACGTACTTTCAAGTGGCCCTGTTTTGTTTCATCTGTGTCATAGATAAATAATAATAAAATCTTTTACGTCTACTAGAGCTTCATAGTTTTATTTAACATGTAGTCACCTTTAGAATTGAGAGCAAAACAAAGTAGGCATAAAAGTTTCACAGCCACTCAGCTGGTTTTTAATATTTGCACTTGGCACAATAAAATATGACCTGAACTAAAACTATATCCTTGTTTACTGAAATCAACTCTGACTTGTTTGGTATTAAAGAGTAATGTAGGTAGCACATGTCTGGCATCATAGCAACAATAATTTTCAACCAGCACAAACCTTTTATTAGAACCTTGAACACAGTCCTTCATTTTTAACTGGTGCTTTTATTGAAATACTAGTACAGCACAGTGTATTTGATTACCTTTCATTAGCTTTTAATTCACATCTCTAAGAGTGTTTTGCTGAAAGTTCAGTTTCCTCTGATTAAAATACTGAACAATATGAACAAGACTATCAGAAATCATGACACCTCGTGCAATTTTGTCGTCACCACTCTGCTGACTTTGGCCATTTTCCAACTATCTTTTTATATCATTTGCTGCTGTAGGAGTCGGAGAGAAAAGGGCTGATAGAGAAATTCCACATGGTCCAAGACAGCCTTATCACCCTTCAGAACCTGCTGGATGAGATAGCGTGTTTGGGGGAGAGGATTAAAAAGTAAGCAGTAGAGAGCTATCAAATATTTCCTCTCTGTTCAAATAGAAGAGTTACACGTGTTTATGAAATGGTTGGTAATTACGTCATTTTCTCAAATTGTTCCATGTCCCAAAAATTCTTTAAATTGTTTTGTCCTGTAATTGTCCAGCAGAAATGAAAAGTTGGTTAAATGTTAATGTCCAATAAGTATTGTATTTTATGTGCAATCAATTATTAGTAAATCAAGTCTGAACATAAAAGTGCTACTTGAAACTGACTGATGTTTTTGATCTTGATTCATCAGCACATTCAACTGGTCGGTGCCGTTTTTGTCTGGCCTGGCTTTCCTGATCTTTGTCATCGCAGCTATCCTCACATACTACATCCCTGTACGCTATATAGTTTTAATATGGGGTGAGTCTCACACGTGTTCATTGTTTCATCTGTTTTGTGTTCATGTGTCTGTTTGCCTCCATTTTAGCTGAGAAGCTCATCATCCCCATAAAATCCTACCCACTAGCTATTAAAACTGGCTGTCATAGAAAAGAAGCATTCCTCTGTCCTTATTTTTATTTATTCAGACCTTTCTATTATCTGTCAGATTTACAAGGCCCCAGGAGTGTTTGCTCCCAGTGTTTCCTGGCTTTATCTTTTTAACATTTGCAGTTTGTAATGTTAGTGAAGTTTAAAATCAGGCGTATCCTATTATTAAAAGTCTTACTGGATAAAATAATTGGCTGAATAAGTAGAGTTTAAAATGTGGCGAGTCTTCCAGCCTAAAGAGTGAAAGTAAAACAAGAAAAAGGCACACACTGGGGTGCTCAGAGCAATATTTCTTGGACAGCATGAGTCTCCCCTGCAAGCATTTGTTTGTGTGGAAACAAAGAGCACAGCCACAAGAGACTAGTGTTAATGATATGTTGGTGTGAATTTCTGTTTTAGGTATCAATAAATTCACCAAGAAATTACGGAACCCATACAGCATTGACAACAATGAAGTGCTTGATTTCCTGTCGAGGGTGCCTTCAGATGTGCAGAAGGTAAGCTCTGCTGGATCAGCCGGCCAGGAAGCCCAAAATCCCAGAGCCTGCTAGCTTTGCATCTTACTACAACAACTCCCAGGCATTCTTCACTCTTGTCTGTATAATTAGCTTCATCTGTATAATTATGCCGCCCTGTATAATTTTTATTGTGTTTTGGTCGTGATACATCCCTGGTGGAGGTCTGCTGCTTAGCAGCTTTGCAACGCAGGCTGTTCCCAGGCTGAGGCAGGAGACGCTGCTGCGGGGGTCTCCTGCACCAACGCTTGAGCATCAAAACTTGTCTTGAGGGTTTCGAGGTGCACTGGTGGTTTACAATGAAAACATTCTGTCAGATTCAAAATGGTTACCTCGTGCCTGAGAGCTTGATAAACATCTTTTTTTTAAAGCATGCACTATTGTTAAGCAGTCTTCTTTTTTTATTGCTCCTCTTCCATGCGGTCTCACTGACCTCTCTTCTCCCTTTATTCTGCTCTCTTTTCCTACCCATTTTCATCCCCCCTCCTCACCCTTTCTGTCTGTCTAAGCTGTTTGACCCCATTTGTCTCCTCCCCCTCCTTCTTCGATGCCCTTGGGCCGCTGGGTTGAGTAACGGCGACTCTCTCCGCTCCACTGTAGAATATGAGCGATGACTCTGGGTATCCCACTCTGTGGTGGTGGTGGTGATAGTACTTTGTTCTACCCTTCCTCAGTTAAAATGCTACTTGTTTTACAGTAGGCACTGGAAAAACTATCTTTATAAGTAAAGGTTATTCTGTTCGACTCCTTTATTCTCAGGCTGCTCAGTCTACATTAAAACAGTTTATCGCTGAGCTTTTCGTTTCGTTACAGCAGATAAACGACACCACTATGTCCTACATGAGGTAGCAGACCATCACTAGCAACAAGAAATGAGCTGCATTGTATGTTCTTTATTATGAACTTCCGTTTTCTGTCTCAGGATATCAAAGTATTTGCCCTCAGGTTGACACAATTAAGTGAATAATCAATTATCTATCAACCATTCAATTCATCATCAACTGTTTTGATAATTGATAATTCAGTTTGAGTAATTTTTCAAAGAAAAAAAGTCAAAATTCTCTGATTTCAGCTCCTAAATGTGTTTTTTATTATTATTTTATTTATTCATTATAAGTTTATTTATTCTTTATGAAAGTAAACTGAATATCTTTGTATTGTGGACAAAGCAAGACATTTAAAGAGGTCATCTTTGGCTTGATTGAAATCTTTCACCATTTTCTGACATTTTATTGACCAAACAACTAGTTAATTATTAAAGAGCATATTCGGCAGATTCGTCAACACTGAAAATAAACTGTAATTAATTGATTAATAATTGCAGCCCTGCTCTCTGGTAAATACTAAACTTGGGAGGATTGCCTGTCATTGCTGTTCACCTTTATAAAAAGCACAAATGACCAAGGATTTTAAACTGTCTGTTTAAAGGTGTCTGTGATTGTGTCTGGTGCTTTTGTTTTGTCTGCATATTTTAAAATGACCAGAATAAAGGATTTGTATATTCTGATTTCTTTCAGGTTCAGTACAGTGAGCTGAGAGGCAGCAAAAAGAAGAAAGTCTCGTAGAGCATTCTGTAAAAGGACAACGGTTTATATACTGGACCTGCTGTCTGTGGGCTTCCTACCTAAAAACACTTTCCAGAGGATGGAGAACGTGCCGGAGCTCTGCTCGGTCTTGCTTTGTGTCGGAGTCACGGCGTTCAGCAGGCATGAATCTTAATTCACCGTGTTGATGCAAAGCTCAGCCCTGCTCATGTCGACCAGCACCTAAATATCTTTCAACCAAAGAAGTCCTTACTGAGGATTCTACAGTGATTACTTTATCAGATATATAGCTGTCTGTCTGTGTCTGGAGCATTTTGTATCAATAATTCCAAAGATTTTAAGTGTGTAATTCAATGTACATTCAACTCTTTAACATTATCAATCAGAAGCTGCTTTGTTTTATATTCTCGACCGCAGGTTGTGTCCTCCTGAAACCAGCCAAAATATCACTTTGAATGTATTTGTTTGATATATTTTTACATGACACATATGTAAACTTTTACTTGAAAATGAATTATTCTCTATTTTTAAAATATATGATTGCTACTGGGATAAAAGTAAATGTAATTCTATGGTTCTTAAAACAGTATGAGTTGTTATAAGGCATTTTTAAGTGCAAGATCTTTGTGATTTCAAATACTAATGGTGATTTCAGGCAGAAATTTTCTAAATTTAGCCTCATAAGTCCATATATAGCAATATGTCAAAAGTTAAGAGCAGATATTATGCATCATATTCCGTTATTTCACATATTTACCTGAAACAGATAAATAACGACATGCTTGCAATAATGACTAGTTTTATTTCTACATGACAATAAGGACTTGTTTTTAACATGCAAAGATGAGTGCCTGCATGCAGATCTTAGATTGCTTTTGCACTGTGTATTTTACTTCTCATGTGAATAAGATCGGACCGCTTCTCTACACTTTATTTATTATTGACAATCACTGATGAAGATTTTGTGTCCTTCATTTCTAATAGCAATAAATGCGCCCTCAAACACTGTGTGGCATTTTTAATCGGCCTTTCTGGTGTCCTCTCAGTCTCTTTGAATCCTCCTGCACGCAGAATTCCTCCTCTCCCTACTCCCATGCTGCAGGATTGTGGGCGTCTCAACAGCACTGTTTCAGAGCCCCCTCTCTTCATTAGGCTTTCATGAAGTGAGGCGAGGCTGTGCGAGACCTTACCAGCACCCGGGCTCCCCGCTGTGTTGATGGCCCTTGGGCGTCGCCACTAGCAGGAGGACCTCAGCGACCTCTTCTCAGCTGCTGTGACGAGATGCCTGCAGCCAGCATCCTATCAAGCACAGCAGCTAGACAAACCTCTGGTACCGGGATGCACACCGCTCAGGAGGAGGATTTTAAAAACCAGCCATGAGCAACAACAGCCACACTAATTTAGGGATTGGAAATTTGGAATGGTTAAGATGTTGCTGTTCAGAGTAATACCCTGGGATTTGTGGCTTTTTAAGTCAGAGTGTGTGGGCAGCAGCCTTTTAAATGAGAAATGAGTAAAATAAGAGGAAAACTGCACTTATGAAATACAATCAAATGTGGTACAAATATATTTGATGATGACCTGATTACTTAGATAAAAGAAGTTTAAGTGTAATTGATATCTTTAACACCAAAGACTTGGTAAATTCATTAAATAACTCTCCCTGTAGAGAAATAACTGTATATCCTACACAGTATATGCAATAATTTAATGATTTGTCCAATTGTCTCGAGAACAGTGTGTTAGGAATGTGGCAGACAATGACCTGTATATCTCTTCATCTAGTTATAATGTTGACTTAGGTATTCAATATTAATAACCTGCTGTCAAGGACACCGAAAGGACATCTCAATTTGACACTTATAGGCTCAGCATGAATATGTATAGGCAGTGAGACACTTCAAAATTACCAAGTAAAATCATGGTTCACATGTGGGGACTAATGTGATGTGGCACATGCATTATGATGAGCCACAAAAACAGTGGCCGATCGGTCTCAAAAGACTTGTTATAACTCAATATTGGACTGGAGAACATTCAGCTGTGTCTGAGTGTGTGCAGAGAGGGGTGCTGCTCGAGAAGCTCTGTGGAGGCTGTGAATGTCCATTATTATGCGTTAATTAACTTAATAATAACTACATTCAGCGTGGACTGTGTGTGGAGAGGGGATGGTGGGATCTGATGGGCAACACAGGGTTTAAATGGTTCCCAACATTAAAACAGTGCCAGCAAGCAAACTGCAGAGCAGCAGGAAGGTTTCTCCACACTGACAGCAAGCCAGGCTGGTTGGCTTGTGGCTCACTTTGTCTCTCCATCTTCAGCACTTCACCATCAAACTCTGCCTACTTGTGGAAACTGTGGAGGCATAAGTATGATTATATACGAATTTTTATTTGAAAAGATCATATAGAATGTGGTAGCCATCAAACAGAAAGTTGATTGGTTCTAATCAAAACATAGTTCTGGTAAATGCTGTCAGGTATTCACTTACTGACAGAATGGGATGACCACGTCTGGTCAGTCATGTCTTCCTGTTTTCAAATATCACCACTCATCACAAAAGATGTGTAATTATCACAAAGTTGTTCTGATAATGAGAATAACTATCATTATAGTCATTGCTGTTGACCTCTCACCAGCAACTGTTTAACTGCTGAAGCGTTTTGATAAACTCGGGCTTTTCATACTGTGCTGGGTTGGAATGAACAGCTTGAAATAAACCTGAGCAGCTCAGTGCACTGAAACCTTTAGATTTTTTGGGCAATTGATTTCCAAATTTAAATAAAGCACCCCTTTAAAAACTTTTTTAGTTTTAAGAAATTTTTAGAGAGGTCAGGAAATACACATATTTGCTTTTGGTTAGGGAGGACTGATGTGACCTGGTGTGTTTCTCATTAATAATGTGACCATAGATTGTATATAAGAGATGGATGTAGCCCCCAGTTATAAAAAATAAAGTCAATGTGGAAGTGCTTTAAACTTACCTTCTTCTGCATCCATCCATTATCTATACACCGCTTAATCCTTCGGGTGAAGGCAGGGGACACCCTGGACAGGTCACCAGTCTATCACAGGGCCACACTTAGAGACAGACAGCCAAGCACACTCTCAGTCACACCTATGGAGAATTTAGAATCACTAATTAACCTCAGCATGTTTTTGGACTGAAGGGGGGAAGCTGGAGAACCTGGAGAGAACTCACGCTGCACGGGGAGAACATGCAAACTCCATGCAGAAAGATCCTGGTGCCCCCACCAAAACTTGAAGCTTCAAAACAGGACACTACTAACCAAATGGTTATGTGCATCTTTTGTGTTCCATCCATGATGGGAGCTTTGGGTTACTTCTCCCTGAATCTCAGGGACAACAGAGATGAAGAGTGAAATCACACAAAACTGCATTTATCGACACAATTAGCACAATCTGCCTGCTGCTGTACACATGTTTTTTTTTTGTGTGTGTGTGGCCTAATTGCTTCATATACATACTTGCCTGCACATAACACAATATCAAAGTTCTTACAGGCAAATCTTGCCACTCAGCAGCTGTCTTTGGTAATGTCCCCAGGCACTTATGTCAGAGCAGCAAGACCAGGCTAAATGAATTGTGGGAGAGCCATAAATTTCAATTTCGCAAATAATTTAATAATAATGGATTGTGTATTCTGTGTTCACGAAATAGGTTCACATGAACGCCCTTCTTATTGGAGTTCACAACATCTTAAATGCAAATTTTCTGAAAGTTCTGAGTTCACAAGATGTCTGGCAACATTTTTAGCAATGGCATAGGCCTTGCAAGTGCGTTTTTTGGTTAATGGTAAAAAAGTATATTGTAATTTTTGTTGTATAAAGTCATAATTTTTTTTAACACATCTAAAGAAAATATTGATATTACCAAAACTGTTTATTATTATTTTGTTGCGCTTCTAACATGTGTGGACAGTTTTACAGCTGCACACTTGAGTCAGTGCAACAACAGGATTGGCCAGAAGTTCCCAGTTCAGCTGTTTCAAAGTAGGCTGTTGGCGGGACAGACATCATACAACTGCCATCTTTGACGTTACAGATTTCTCCCATAGTTTTCTATTTAAAATTGTTCATAGTGGTGCATCTCTTACTTACAACAATGCTGATAATTGGAATATATGTTATATTGATTAAAATAATAATAATAATAATAATAATAATAATAATAATAATAATAATAATAATAATAATAATATAATAATAATAATAATAATAATAATAATAATAATAATAATAATAAAATAAATAAGAGAAAGTGAGCTTTTACAAGATTGAATTTCCCTTCTGGGATAAATAAAGTATTTTTCATTTCATTTCATTACATTTCATAATATGCTTAAAGCATGAAGCCAATCAACCCTGTTTCACAAAATTACATTCAATTTTCTGGGTTCTCAGGGTGACAAGTCCCCCAGACTCATGTAATATACAGTTGAAACTTGTATAAAAGGACAAACAACCTTTTTTTCTCACTGTCTGACATTAAATCTGACTAAACATTTTGTGTTTAAAAAGAAAAAGTTGTTGGTTATATCTTTTTATGCAGTGTATGTAAGCTTCTGATTTCAACTGTATTACAAAGGAGTGACAGTTGGAAACAGTTTTAACATATGTTACAAACAAATGTACTTGTGCAGAAAAAATGTTTTCTCTCAAAACATGATTGAGCATGCAGTTTAGCTGTGTAGGACTTTTTGGGTGACAGGGCTGAGGCGATGGCAGTAGCTGCTTAGCTTAGCATATAAGTGAAAATGAGACAATATGGTTGGCTTAGCTCTACCCAGAGTTCACGAAGTCAGTCAAAGTGAAAACTGAAATTTAAAATTAGCGTATTCAAATCATTGCCATTAAATTAGTTGGTCCAATATAACTGACCACAAAATAATGACTTGTTGAGTTTTAGAGTTGCTCCAGTATTTACATTGTTACTGTCATGCAGAACTGTTTCCAGCACTGATGCCAAACCAGGCAAACATCTCCTCACGATTAGACACAAAATCCAAATTTAAAGAAGAGAGCAAATATTAAAATGGGTAAGTCTTCTCTTTAAAAGATCCGTCTGTAGAATTCCCATTTTGCAAAAAAAAACATTGTGCTATCTACAGACATGTTTGGGTTCATCTGTCATTTATCATAGTAAGTCCTCATTGTTGTAAATGTTTGATTCTGACACAGTTCTTTTATCGGCACCCAGCAGCCACTAGTGGTGTGTAGTAATGAGCTTGATTCTGACCATGAGGACACCCCACGTCCCCCCACCTCCCACTATGGTTGGAACAGTCCCTCAGGGAGTGTGGGTGCAGGTAAATCACAGGCGCACTGTGTTCTAGCTGTGCTACTGCCCAGAGGCTGCAGGACGACGCTGCTGTCCCAGAGCAGACCAACATCAAAGCTCTGATCCAGAAGAGCCCGGGGCTACCAACAGCCAGCAGCTCTGATTGACAGAGGAGATGCAAAAGATTTCATGAGACCAACACAGCGATGTTAGGCTGGCCTTTTGTCTGTGTTTGCTTTTCTTTTTTGCAGGAGATGCTGCCTGAATTTTAGAGATTTTTATCCCTGAAATGTTGCCACAGAGTGTCAGGTCTAAAAGATACACAGTACGCACTGACTCACATTGTAAAGGTCTGTACGAAACAGCAGACCTCGTACTGCCCTCTGAGAAACAACCGGAACAATTAGAGGCAGTTTTGTTCTTGTTGCCATATTTAAATCTGAAGTGTTTATTTTTGTCTGTTGCTTTTGCTCTTGGCAACAGGCAGGATTCATTGATCTTCAGGCTGTGTGCGATGTACCCATTCTTTTGTGTCATTATTCAAAGCAATTATATGAAAACACATCTGTTAGAATATTTTGTATATTCATAAAAATACATTTTTGAAAAATAAATTGGCAATAACACTAACATTTCAGTTGTTTCATCCTAAAGATGAAGACTGGAAAAATTTTATTTTTTTGGTTATTGTTGAGCAATCTTACAGAAATGCCAAAACACTGTGTT